ACAAACAACAGACTGTGATTGTGGGTTACCGCAATACATAAGAGAAAAGAAAAGAAGAGGAAAAATAATGCAACTGGTGCAAGCTGGCTGAGCTACCGGTAACGGATGGTCATCGTTCCGGTAAGCTACCAGCTGGCTACTGTGCAACAAAAAAATTACTATGCAAAATTATATGAAGCTAAATAATGAGATCGTGGTTGGAGGGGAGGCTAAGTGGGATGGGGTGGGACAAAGAAACTCACAGCACGAACGCCACTGAGGTCGGCTCCTTGCCATATCAGCAAGTGTGTCCAACCAAACGTGTTCATCGTCTTTCGGATCCCAACCAGGGAGCCGAGACGCTCCAACCGAGGCCAGCTCAGAAGTGAGGGCCTTCATTCCTCTGGCCAGTCATCGCTTGGCCACCCCTCCTCTTTTTCCATCCACACCCCCGGCGCACAAACAACGCACGTCGCGGATGTCGGTGGGCTGGCATGCGTAACACTTGGCCGAGCTATCGGAGCCTGGTGCGTAAAATAACGGTGCTGAGCGGTTCATTTCCTTTTCCTGTGCCATAAACAAGGCGTCGAACACGCTCGTTACTCACGCGGTTCCCACCAAATGTGAGCTCAATTGCGAAGGCACCGGTGGTCGAACTTAACTAGCCTCTTCTATGTCTGTTGGTCTAAGGGCCAAGGTTTCACAACTGTACATTAGGGTCGAACGTACTGCTGCATTGTACACTCTACCCTTCAGGGTAAGAGTGATGTCGCGCCCCCTTTTTAAGTGGGAGGTTAGCAAAAGCGCCTCGAGCTTTGCATATACGATTCGTGATCTCATCTTCAATCCCACGGGCGCTGATACAACTTCCCAGGTAGTTGAATTTTTGAACGACTTTTAGCTGATCCCTACCAAGGGTCAGCGTAGGAGGCGGTCCAGGCCAATCTTGGAGGAACGCTTTGCACTTCGATGGTGCAAAGCAAAAAAAAGCCCCAAAGCGGTGTTGACAAGCCAGAATTCTAAATCTCGTCCAATTTTGGATGCACGATGAGACCACCAGGGTTCGCGCTCTTTCTTCAAGCTAGCACGGAGTTTTGCCCGGAGCTCTTTGCGAGTTTCATTGTGTTTGCTTATAGCCGGAATATGCTGGCGAGCATCGATTAGTTCCAGAGACTGCGACTAGACCTACCACATTAGGATTTGCCTGCTGCTAGTAAAGTCCGGCGCATATGAAACCAGTGGGCTACAATTGCACCCAGTGAGCGTTTATCCAACTCGCTTGACAGCGTACTTTGATAGGCATTCAGAACAGCTGGTTTCGCCAGTTGGCTGGTGTCAATGCGGTCGCAGTGTCCTCGTGGTGGTCCGCCAAAGCGCATGCGCAGGTCCGCACATACACGTTTATGGTCGGTGTCCACACCCGTGTTCCAAATCGCGCGACATTTCTGGACGCAGCGTCTCCAACTGTAAGTCATCGCAATGTGATCGATTTGCGTCCATAGCTGGTTCGAGGCTGGTGGGCGCCAAATCACCCTCCGGCGGATGCGGTGTCGGAAATTAGTGCTCGCAAGAAATAAGCGAGCATCCTCACACAAATGGAGTAACCGCTCACCGTTATCATTACGGGAGCCTACACCATGTTGGCCGCCCAGATGCACTTCATCAGTGGCTAATTTTCCAACTTGAGAGTTCATATCCCCAGCCAGCACAACAGTGTCCGAGCTTCTTCTGTGGCTAAGGAGCTCGTTCAGTTGACAATAGAAGTCGTCTTTTACCGAGTCATCGTTAGAGTTTGCGTGTGCATAAGCAGCGAGGACGAATAGACAGCTGTTAGTCCCACGCGACTTCGAAGTTTTGAAAGAGCCAGCCAATCGGATCGCACACATCCGGCTACTGATTGGAATCCAATCAAGCAGAGTAGCTTCATCCCGGGGGCTCAGGACCATACCAACATCGGCTTGGCCTTTGGTCGAAGCTGCATCGTCACCGGCTAGGCACGATGAGAAAGTGGTGATGGTGTCACCTGAAGGGGATCGCAGAGTGAGCACTGAGCTCAAGTCTTGCAGGTGGGTCTCCGATAAGCAGCAGATATCGATGGAGAGGGTCTCTAATGTTCGGGAAAGTGCTGCCTGTTGACGGATCTGTAGTAGTGTGCGAACATTGAGGCATGCCAATCTAAAGGAGGATCGAAGGTTCCAAATGGAAGCCGAAGAACTGCGTTTCATCGCTTGGTTAGACATGGGCCTGTTGACAGGGCCGGAATGACGCTCCGCGTTCACATGTGAGTTGCAACTAAAAGACAAGTGGCTATGGAAGCAAGGTGGGGGAGGGCCAGGAATTGGGAGGTTGCAAACAGGGGGATAAATGTGAAGCTGGAACGGGACGAGAAGGTTGAAAAAGCGTAAGATGGGGAATAAGAAGACGGGAAGGCTTGAGCAGTAGCATCCCAACCCCCATCCACCCTGCTCGGTGCAGCATATAGAGCACCGTTGATTATCCTCTGAGGTGGCCAGAGCATCAGCAATTTGTTTGAAGTGAAATTCATTGTATTGCGTGGGCAGAATACTGTCAGGTTGCCCAGGCCTAGACAGGAGAACGAGTAGAGTTCTCAACAAAATCCTTTGGTTCAAAAACCGGACCACGAGACAGCGGGTTTGACGTTGGACTACAAGCAGTCCATTATAAGAAATAAGGAGGCACCCTCATTCCAACCCCCAACCTGGAGGACCAGGAGGCTGAGTTTGTCTGGCCTCTAACCATTGACCAATCTGGTATGAGTGGCTCTGAAGGTGTAAAAATGCACCACTCAGCATTGCTAAATGGATCACTGAGACACACAAACCATTGCACCACTGTAAGGTCCAGCCTCATTGAGATTGAGTGCTTTTCACTGGAGAGCGACGACTTTCTATGACTACAAATGTGGTTTAAAGCAGCACCACGGTGTTGAGCGATTGCATGCTGCGTTTGGTAATGGTGCGCCTTCAAGAACTACCGTGTTTGCGTGATTTACCTTATACAATCGTGACAAGCGGTCCTTGGAAAGTGAGGAACAGTCTGATCGTCCTGTGTGGGGGCCACCGCCTCGGACAACATTGCTAGAGCGGATCGCGCGGGTGACTGGTGCAGTTGGAAAAAGCCATCGGAATCCCCTCGGGATGAACCTGCACCATCGTACTTGAGAGCCTCCATCCTCAGAAACGTTTACGCACGCAGGGTACCGTATCGGCTCATTGAAGACTAGAAAGCAGCTCGGGTGAGTTGGTGCTTCACCATGCTTGCCTGATTTGATGGTGGACGTTCCAATGTTGTTTGGGATGTCCTCAGTGGTGTTGACATATGGGTGTACCGTTTAAATCCAAGCCCTAATTGGCTCAGTGACCGACGGTTGATGGGGCGCCGCCTCAGGAATCCCAGCATGAGTGCAGTGTAGCCAAGCAGATGGTGGCTGTGTTCGTTGCTATGACCGGTAATGTGACTACTGTTCCACTCGGATGGCAACGTGCAGTCACCGAAGACTGGTATGCCATTGTCTGCCACAAGCGCTGGAAGCTATACCCAGGCGTCGTCCAAGGGCACGAACACGAGGAACCTTGCTGCGCCATGACAATGTACCTGCACATAGGTACCATATCGTCGCAGATTTTATGGCTAGAGAACGCATCCCGGAGTTTGGTCACCCACCTTACAGTCCACATCTGGCTTCCTGTGACATTTTTGTGTTCCTAAATCCCAATCGCATGATGTGTGGAATCAACTCCGAGTCTCCAGAAGCTGCAGTAGAGGCGTTTATCGAGTTCCTTGAAGGATGCTTTGCTTCAGTGCCGTCTAGCTTCTTCTCCAAGTGGTTTTAGCCCATATTACTGTACAAGAACACTTGTGTAGAGTATTACGAGAAAATATAATGCTTATTTTGTTGTGAAAGATGAAATTTTTTCTGCTTCGGACTTATTTTTCTCCCCTCGTATGATGGACACAGTCACTTCTCCTACACATCGGTTACAGTATCAGTGGGCTAGGCTCCTTCGATCGAATTTACCTTTTTAGTAAATCACACCTGGTAAGCCCATGAGTATTTTCTGTGTGCTCAGACAAAGCCTTTGTCAGTGGCTTCGTCTTTTAATTTGTGATAATGGCTCTTTCGGGATTCCAGTTGACTGTATCAGTTGGTTGCGCTGTCAGCAGGAACTCAGCACCGGGTCTGGGTGACCTCGCTACCCAACTCTAACATTTAGTTTTGTGTAGATTCGTCGTCACTGAGCCATTGGCGACGGCAGCGGACCGCCATGACTGATCTTCATCATCATTACACATTAGCTGGAGGTGGAAAACACCTCAGCGATTGTGCTGCAATACAAAATAAAAGAAAAGGAAAAAAGTGGCAAACAGTGGCACGCCCGCTGAGTCCCCAGTAACGGATGGACATCGTTCCGGAGAGCTAACCGCTGGCTGCCGTAAAAAGAGAATCATATTATGCCTAACAGGTGAGATCGTGATTGGAGGGGGATACTAAACAGGAGGGGGATGGGCAAAGGAAATCACAACACAAACGCCATTGGTGCCGGCTCCGAGCCATATCAGCAAGTGTGTCCAACAAAACGTGTTCGCCGTCCTTAGGACCCCAGCCAGGCAGTCGAGATGCACCAACCGACGCCAACTTCGAAGTGAGGGTTTTCATTTCTAGTGATTGATATCTAACTGCGATATAGCGCGGCTCATCCTTCACTGTCTTGCATTTTGTGAAAGTGCAGAGGACAGAGCTGGCCCCCAGAGCAACGATTTCCTTTGCAGGCCGCAACCAATCGAGGTGGCACGTAGGCTGCTAAGGCGACTACTGATTATTTGTAAGTAACATTGAGTGTTTGATCATGTTTCATATCCCCTCGTACGAGGCACCACATGGTTGGCCTCCAAATGAATCAACTCACATTACAACAAAGCTATCAACTATTTTTTCGGTCAGTTCATGATGTCAAACAACGCGCATCGCGTTGTAGTCTCTTTCCTTTGTATTTCGTTGTTTTGTATTCACAAGTGCTCCAAGTTGCTCCAGAGACGCTGTGGATTTGCGCGGTTAATTGGCATATCATTTGTGTATGGATATATACTCAATTGATGTTCTCTAGCTGAAAGCGCCTCTTATCGCTCCTAACAACTTCCTGTGTGCATATATTCATTGCTTTCCTTAGTGTTTGGCCGCTGTATGCCTAGCCAGTTGACTCGTTTGCTCACCAACGGAACGGATCGTGTACACGACACGGATGGCCGTCGGATTCCATTGATGAACGAACAGAAGAGTCTGGTCAATGGGACCTCTGTTGTGCGTGGTCGCAAGTAAGCAACCCACGTGGTGGTTGAGTTCAATTTCTCGTCTTCTCCCGTTTGCATTGACCAGCCGGTATGTAAGTGTAGTCTAGTGGTGACGGTTAAACATCTCAGCCGATACTACTAATACTGCTAGTATTAGTGCGCCGAGAGACTGTCTGTAGCAACACAGATCAATTTGTGCAAAAGTAACCATGTGCTTGCTTTGGCGATATGCATAGGTGGAATATTGTGGTTTGCGATTCACGTAATATAACCTTTTGCCGGATGGCTGAGGCGCAAGCCAAGGTTTGGAATCCTGAGTGTTTCGATGTTTTTGGGCCCCTCTTGGTGGAGTACCTCATCCAGGGATTTTTCTTCGTGTGAATATGGCCATTATGGTATTTAGGTCAAGGTAACTGTTGCCAAATTGTCACGTGACCTGCTTGGGATTGGATTCAAGTTCATAAATGAAATGTTGTGGTAACTCGCTGTAAAAATGGTCACACCTTTAGGGAAATATGCCCATTTGTTTTTTTATCTATTCCACAAATAAGTCCATCTAACCAGGAAGAAATTTGTGCGCATGATCGTTCTAGCCTTTGGTATAATCAATGTATAATATTTGTTATAAAGTTCTCGAATTGAGCTGTGTTGCATTTCGAGTGCAACATCGAGTTATTAGTAATGACGTTCGACATCGCATCTTGGAGAATGCAAGTATTCTCTTCAACAAACTGGTTTTGTTGCGCCAGTTGAGATGGCTCGGTCACGTCCTACGCATGGCACCTGAGCGTTTACCGCGTCGCACTGTATTCGCTCGTCAAGGACCTGTCTGGAGACGACCGCGTGGTGGTCAGCCTTCTACATGGCAACAGCACATGAAATCGCTGACGTCGTGTCTAACCGCTGTTGGACCCGTACGTTTTCCAGGATGGGGACCCAAAGATGAAGATTGCCAATGTCTTAACACTCTTGAAGACATGGCCCGCAACCGGAATCAGTGGAAGAATTGTGCACAGTATTGTATTGATTAGTATGTTGAGTACTTCAAACCTTGAAAATGACAAAAAAGAGCAAAAGCGGCGTGTGAAAAACAAACTAAAAATGTTTTGTTCTACTTTTTGTCAAAAGATTCCTTTCTTCCTGCGGTATATTAGCTGAAGTGTGTTGCTCACGTTCAACTACTATGCCACGATGATTATGACATGATGACTCTCCTTTATCCTCTGATCTCCATGGTTTTCTGTTGGTTCTTTGTCTAGTTGTTAGACTACTGAGATCACTCACTCACATGTAGGTAGTAGGTTGTCAAGCATTAACAAGTTTTACTCCAGTCGTCGCGTCCAGTGATTCGAGTTGAAATTTGTCGCTTTAACAAAGAGACCAAAACACAACTAAGGCATGCCGTCGTTCCGATTCTAGCATGCAACACACAACACAACACTCTCAACAAGCGAAGAGTGTCCTAAAATCCTTGAAGACCGACGAAATCATCGTAATCTTGCCTGCGGACATGGGACATACGACTGTTATAGTGGACAAAACTGATTGTATTGATAAGGTAACTCATCTACTGGCCGACACAACGATCTGTCGAGGCATGGAGAATGATCCAACAGTACGGTTGACAAATAAAGTGAATAAGACACTTAAGAGACTGTAAGATTTAATGCAACTCCCAAATGGGGAACGTGATAGAATAAAGGCTGGTGATCCAAATATCGCACAGTTTTACGGGCTTCCGAGATTACACGAAAATAGTGCGCCGCTGCGACCAATAGTATCACTTCTAGGTACACCAACTTACAACTTGGCTAAAGAATTATGGAAACGCCTTAAACACCTGACCAGCGGATCGCAATACTCGATCAATCATATGTATATATTTTTCAACAGTCTGTGAATAGACATAGAGCCATCAGAAACCATGGAACACAAAAGCAGGTACAGAAATTCTAAAAGAAAACACAATACAACGCATCAAAGTCCATAGTTTTCTCAGAGAGTGAGATACTACCCGGTTGCCCAAGCCGAAGTAGGGTGTTGACTTAGGGGACACCACCCCGAGCCTTTGGCTGAATAGCCTGCCCGCAAGGCAGCGGAGCGAATTCAGGGAATCGCGCCCATTAGGAGCCGATGGCTGATTGCTCAGTTCATACGCCTTTCGTTTGTTCCTTTGTCAAACAGGGGCCCAATGCTCCCCAGAATTACAGCATACATTTGCTGGAATACAATGCTTCGCCAGGATGAAACAAGGGGCAGTGACTTTATTTAGTGGTGAGTCACGTCCGCCACGTCACAGTGTTGTTAAACGGACATATGTGGCTTTTTATAGGGAGAATGCTTGCCAGGCGAAAACCCACCACGTCCTGGAACACTTCCGTTGAACCATTTGCTGGGACGGGAAAATCCCGAACCACCCAGCTGGCACCACGAGGAGGTTGTTCGGCAAGCCACCCTCAATTTTTGGAGAAGCTCAAATGCATGCTGATAGCCCATGAAGAGATGGTGTACTTTGACCCCACCGCACTTTTCACCTCTATCCACTTACAGATAGTGAGGGAAAACCTCAGAGTACGTCTGAACAGTGATGCACGAACTACTGGGCATCTGACAACTGAGGAGCTTAACTCCTCGAAATGTGTCTTACCACCTACTTCAAATTCAACGGAGTGTTTTACAGGCAAGTGAGAAGAGCTCTAACGGGATCCCCCTTATCTGGACTTATTGCGGAGATCGTCATGCAGAGGTTGGAAAAGGATCTACTCTCAGTCATTAGTCCGAAATTATGGGTGCGATATGTTGACAATACATTTGTGATTCTCAAATGCAGCCAGCTACAGACCGCACAAGGCCTGCTTAACAATGCAATGGAAGGTATTTGTTTCACCATGGAAGAAGAGATGGGAAACCAACTACCCTTTTTGGTCATGTTGGTTACCAGAACAGTGGAAGGCGAATTACAAACATCAGTTTACAGAAAAGCGACACACACCGTCCCAATCCTGAACTTCAACAGCAATCACCCTGTGTCACAAAATAACCTGTATACGGACCCTGTTTCGTAGAATAGAATCACATTGCAGTACTGCGGAGGAGAAATGAAAGGAAGAGGAAGAGTGAGAGAAGAGTAGATACCTTTAAACGTGCTCTTCTCAAAGCGGAAGGAACGAGGGTGTTACGCGATGCAATTCAGCCGTTTTTGAGAATGTATCGAAACGCTCCGAATCCAAACACACCGGAGGGTAAATCTCCTTCTGAATGTCTATTTGGACGAAAAGTTAGAACGACATTTGATAGCCTGATTCCCAGAAATGTTGAAAAACGCAACGGACAACCGAGAAGAGGGCAGGAAAACAGGCTTCGCACGTTCAAGCTTGGCGACTTGGTGTATGCACGAAACTTCCAGACCCCGGAAAGATGGGTTAGCGGAACAGTTAGTGGAAAGAGGGATAAAGTTATTTATGAGATAATGGTCGGAAAGGACAAGTGGACCAGACATATCAATCATCTATGACAGCGGCATGGCAAAGCTCAAAGAGATCAAGAACTAGCGGCACCACGGTGGGGCATACTAATGCATACATTTGGTTTAGAACACAGAACTGATCCCCAAAACGGAACACAGTCGGTCGCACGGACGCCACACGACGTGACATGCAGGCCAAGTCGAAGAAGAAGGTAACCGCGATGGCCACAAGTGGACCCCAGGGTAAAAACTACGACCAAGCCCAAGTGCGGAAAATAGGTAGGAACAATCAAGTTGAAGGGAGAGATAATAGAGACGTAAGCGGAGCTAAAGTTGGTTGTCGACTGAGAATTGATCGGCCAGCAATTACCAGTCCGCGTAAAAACGAATCGAACTATATCCTCAATATGATAAACCCATGGAGTGGAACTCATTCACACTGGCTGAAAACCGGACGCACAAAAATGAGCGATCTTGACCTCCAAATTAGCATGTTTCGGTTACCTATAAATACGGTTAACTTATGGTGTAGATAGACTCCCTGTTTACCGAGTCTTGGTCTTCTGTATTCCGTCGGTTGGTTGGGCGCGTGACTGAGAAGTCAGACAGTCGCAATCTCATAGGGCAGCTAGCAACAGTGCAACAGTCGTCAGTGGCAGAGAGCAGAGGTAAAGAAGAAGCGTTACAACAGTGAAGAAGAAGCGTTACAACAAAGGAACATCTGTTTATGTCTTTAATTCGCAACGGCTACCCACGCAGTTTCATCTGAAGACACCTAAACCGGAGGAGCACAACTACCGCACCTGCACCAGTAACGGGGCAACGTATCGTCTTGCCGTACATCCAAAAGGTATCGGAAATGACATCCAGACTCCTCAGGCCGCACAACCTGAAGGTAGCTCACACACCAACTTCGACTTTGAAGGGAACCTTGTTTAGACCTAAAGGAAAACTGGAAGCACACGAACGCCGAACTTTCATCTACAGGATACAGTACGAGAACTGTGAGAGAGTATGTGGGTCAAACGGGGAGAAAACTGTCTACAAGATCACAAGCGTGCATATCGATAACATTATGCAACCTCACACTATTGCAGCCAATAAGGTGGCCTATGTCGTACGTTTGCCTGCGTGATGAGTAATCTTGCGTTTTAGAAGTAGATGTTGCTCGAGCTCCCCAGTGTGGCTGCGCCTGATGTGAATGTTGACAAGCTGTCTACCTGTCTATTACCCACTACCTCGTCTATACTGGCTCCAGGAGACACTTGGTCGTTACTGGTGGCGACAGTGTGAACCGTCCTCGTGACGGTGCTAGTCTCAAAGAGTAGTTCCATCCTGTTTGGAATGGGCTACGGTCCAGCCACCGCCATGTGTATGTCTGGTATGCATGATTTCCCACTTAGGCCAGAATGCTTCTGTTCTGCTTGTTGAAGGAGTGTGGGCCGGCTCCGTTGATGAAACCTGGCTCCCATTCACATGCTCCCAATCTTATTCCTTTGGGTTTACACCGGATATGGGGTGTGTGGGTGGTGCAGCGCAAGCCACCCATGGTCCCTCTGTAGGCGCACGCCTCCTGTGACTGTCCCCATGGAGGTCATAGTGACAGGCAAATCCGGATACAGATGCCGCCAAATCACTCAACATCACAGATCTCAGCGCACCTCGATGAGGAAGGGCACAACGTAAACTGGGACAACACGGAAATTCTGGTTCACGGAGGAACAAGAAAAGGAAGAGAATTCCTCAAGGCATGGTCGTCTACCTAGAATTCAGTGGACCTCCACATTGACCTTGATCCAGTGTACTTACAGCTGGGAAATAATGAAAATAAGCGGCCAAAAATCGGACAAACAGAGATCACAGGACACGGATCGACGAGGCCAATTTCAAACAGTCCGTTCCGACGACACTTTCCTTGAGAGTATCCTCTACGCAGCAGTGCACTGAAGATGCCACTGAGCGAAGTAGCAAACGTTTGCCATTAAATTACTCAGCTCGGAGAACCAATCAAACCTTAACTTTGTTTACCCATAAGATTCTTAGTAACCGATCTCTGCAGGTCTCTCTTTCTCATATTGCCATTTTTTACGCTATAGGTGAGTGACTTAACTCTGGCGTGGATTTCGTTGGATATTTTAGCCATAGCTTGTCTGACAAGTGCTTTTTGCTATTGGGCCTGTTCTGAGAACTTGGTCGATGAATACTTACTTCTGAGATCGCAAGTGGGCAGCTGTATACTTGATCCTTCGGGGATAGAGCAGCATAAGACATGCTCCATTTTTAACCGTAAGTTCCATCATTTACCTGTGGCACAATACCTCAGGTCATCTTAAATGAGCAACAGTATTCCTTGCATTTCGTCATTTCGAAGCTTATAATCAACCTTGACATCATCAACGATTATGCGAGACCTCTCGTTGAGTTACCCAGGTAAATTTTGGCTTACCAAAGAATGTGCTGTTGTCTCTCTTCTCATTTGTGTCAGGTAACTGTGATCCGAATGCCTTAGTTCATCTACACTTATTATTAACAATGCTAACCAAATGTATATTACTCGATTGTGCCAGATACAGTCCAACTACATGATCCGTTCATTTCCTACAACCGGATCTCAACAGATAGATACATTTTTCAAGTTACCCACTGTTTGGTGAGCCTGGTTATATTGAACTCCTCCGTCTGTCAAATCGTATGACGTGATTATGCCTCTGAGAGCCAGCCGCTAGTCACGATGCTACCGGAGAGTCGCAGTAGGGCTCTTTCGGTCTCCCGCTGCCACTGAAATAATTACTTGTCGATGGGGTTGGCGGTTAACAGTTGTCTGGGTTCATCAGTCCAGGTTCACTGTATAAAAAATGCTTCGGCATTTTCGTCATCCACGCTAGCTCAAAACGCAGTAGTGCACTTCCCCATCCACGATGCGCATTCCATATTGCGCCCACCGTGATGTCTTCTAAGTTCCAACTCTATGGGAAGTTGGCATAATGCGTCTGAACTGACTATTTCCCGCTTTCACCCACTACCCTACCCTGCTGCTGCTGCTGCTGCTGCTGCTTTTTGCTAAAATGCCACTTTATTGGAGTCATTGGATTGGTGGACTGCTTTTATATCATTTATTTTAATATCATTGCGACGCAGATTCTGCCTCGAAGCTTCAGGACACTGTTAACTCTGTATTTTTGTGTGGAAGATAGCAGCAAATGTTTTCGCCTCTGCACGCATGATACTGCAGCTTTGTCACCGATAGCATCCGACTTGTGATCTCTTATCAATTGTACTGCAATCTTTTTCGAGGCAACGGTTGCAACGTTTAAACTTCGGCTCTATATTTTCTTCGTATGAGCCTTCCCAATACCTTTCAGAACATTCCATTTAAAAATTGTCAATCGGTCCACCACCCACGTGACTTCCTCCTACCTTTACCTCATTTTTACACTACGCACACCCATACACTTGCATTGCATCATGTTCTATCATCACTTACCTGCCTCATCCCTTTCATCTCTTCTTAGGGTGGCCAGTAAGTATACTGTCAGCATTCTGTTTTTACGTCGGCAGTTTTAGACCATCTCATTTCCGTTTGAGTATCATTCATTCTATTTTGTAACGAGACTGCGTAGTGCCAGGGCGACCCTGGCGCTATCCTTTGCCCACATGCCACCGGTGGTGGTTGCGCGGCAACGAAGCCCCGGTATTGCCTACCGGCATACTGCCGCTAGTGCAACGAGACTGGACTTTAGCATGAGGCGACGGTTTTCCCACTTGTCACCCACCGAATATTCCCGAATGGTTTCAAGTTGGGTTCCACTTCGGATACCGTGGCCATAACTACTGTTGTCTATTTCAAAGTAAGTCAACGTCTCAATAGAGATTGCGTATAGAAATTCAACCAATCTGTTAATACTCCCAACCCATCTTTGCATTATTACCCATTGTGTCAAGTGTTGCACACGGAGCTCAGGGCTCTAGTGATCAAGGCGTCAGTGGTTAATCACTAGCTCCCGATTTCCACTCCCAGCTCTGGTTATCCTTCCCCTGATGAATCCAAATGAGGACGTCGGGTGTCGGTGTTTGCAGGAGACAATACCACGATATATCCAATCGCGGGTCATGTTCTTGGTTCACATTAAGGGTTGCTTTCATCATCCTGTTCGATAATCAGATTTCTACTATATCCCGTATTCTGGTCGTATAACTTTAGGGTCGAAATAATAGTGGCATAAATTTATTTGAGCATAATCTACTTTGTGGACTCTATCGTCACCGTTTTCCCGCTGTGTTTGCAGTTAGGCTTCCGTTGAGACCTTTACTTCTCGTCTTCTCTCAGTTTCAACGCCCTAACGATGTGTGTTTGCTATCCTTCCTTCATCTGTATTATAGCGTGTCGCCAGTGCAAGGTGTGTTGCTGTGATTAGGGTTGCGAATCGTTTCACGTGTTTGCATTAGTGTGTTCACCAACCACCTATTTAATTAACACCAGTCGAACTCATCGTCCCTCATATGAGTTCGTTTCATTCTTTGGCTTCTTACGACCGCCGCTTTTTTGCCTACGCTACTCGATTACACCCTTCGGATTTCCATTGAACTGGTTAATCGGACACATTTTCTTTACTATCACTTATTGTTTTTTCATGGATGCCTATTCATAGTGCCCGTGTTGTCTTGCTGCAATCCTACGGAAATATTCTACCTCCTATCCTCTTTTTTTCAAGTCTCGTCATCCAGTTGACGGGAATGTTCGAGGAGATCGCCTCGGATCTGGCTAAAAGCTGGCCCACTATTCTCTTGTAAGTCCTTCCGTGTTGTTCATCTGCTCTGTCCCCAAGTAGTGTGAGATGGATTACAGACTCCTGTCGCCTGCCAGTCGCATAAGCGGTGGTTTTAGTCGTTTCCTTTGAAACTCTGAATCCACTTTAATTTACTTGTAATGTTTTCATTATTTTTTAATGTTATAAGGTAGATTTTGTTTAGTAATACCCATTAAAGGAGAGAAATTTAATTTTTCTGAATATTTTCATGTTTAATGAATACTGTATAATGGAGCAAATAGAAATGAGTTCTGTACAACTCTTTCGAAATATAGTGAACAACGTTATAAGTGTTCTCAGCCGTGACTATCGTTGTCATTCTCATGTAACATTTAAAAAATCTGACGCGCGGTATTGCAAGACTCACAAATGTGATATGTCATCGTAAGTGTGCAATTGTTCTCTGAGTCGAATAGTGGTAAAATGTAAATCTAACAACGTTTTGAACTGCTGCGCAGATGTTGCCTCCATCACATGTTCAGGTAAACTGTTCCAAATATTTACCACTCGCCGTTCGAAGCACAATGGGTGGGGAACACGTTTCACATCCGGCACGACAAGTTTGTCTCTGTGTCCACTTGTGCTGCATGGCGCTCGTAAGTGCAGCATTGGCCTTAGCATGGGGAAGTCACCGAGATGTAGCATACGGTAGATCATAATGTGGTCGACTCGCACCCGACGATAGGACAAGCTATAGAGTCCTAGTTTCTCGCACCGGTTTTCATACCCCAAGCCAAGTACACTCGGGATGAGCCTGGTAACAATGTGTTGGACCCGTTCGCTCATCTGTGCCTCGCTTTGGGTATTCGGAAAGTCGGCGGGCGAACCGTACTTTAGCATTGGTCTAATGATGGATGAGAAGAGGCGAGTGGCAACCATTTCAGACCATGTGCCGAAGCTACGTTTAAGCACCCAAAACATGCGCAGTCCGTTACGATATAGCCTGTTCGTGTTGTCCATGGACTTCAACTCGTAGCGCGAGAGTACAACTAGGTCCTTCACGGAGGGTGTAGGATATAGCAGTTGGTCGTTAAGGGTGTAGGTTCGGCTGTCAGCACCCTTCACCAGGCTCATAAATACATACTTGGCTGGGTTGATCAGGAGAAGAACTTCTGCAGACCATGTGGATATGCGGTTAAGGTCTTGCTGAAGTACGCCACCGTCCTCGGGAGCGCCAATTTCTCTCCAAATCTTCATATCGTCCGCAAGCAAGGCACACGGCGACCGGAGAAGCTGCGGTAGATCGTTGATGTGAATCAGAAACAGAGTGGGCCCCAGCACAGTGCCTTGAGGCACGCCATTTGTAGAGGGGTACCAGTCAGTTAGATGGTCGTCGACCTGTACCCTCCACTTTCGTCCAACTAGGTGGCATTTGTAAGTATCGACCGGAACATAGGTCCTCGAAATTGTCACCATGGGTGTACATTACTGGAAATGATTTTCTTGAAAGTGGTTCTTTTTGCCGTTGCAGTATAAATCACATCACACAAAAACACTTTGAATGTGGTCTAAATTGGATTTTTTCAACTAAGACACATTTCACATTTTCCGCTTTCTGCAACGAATATAGGCCAGTGAGCGCCAATGTTCTGTGTTCTGACGTATTTAGGCAGGGAATACTTGTTTATTTTTCGTCTTTCTTTAATCCATCTCATGATATCGTAATAAATGAAAGACGGTCACATTTTCACTGGTCTGCTTCCTAATAGCAGCAAGCCCCTTTGACAAGTTTCTTCGAAACTTCAACAATGAGATGCCAGGATGCATCTTCTTATACATTACAAATGCCTTGACATACGCCATTACCATCATTGCGAGAACCAGTCTGTGCGACCATTTTTTCGAGTTTTTCTCATATTCATAGGTTGAGCGTAGCATATCTGCTTTGTCCACTCCGCCCACGGCTGAATTGTTAGCATGTGCCATGCTAGGTGCCACTATGTCGGCCATTGTTTCAATCCGCTCTTTACTCCTCACAGTATTGGATCCACTTCCATGGTAATTGAACAACAGCTAAACACACTTGTTGTCTTTTCACTTGAAGAACACAATTCCTGAATATGCAAAACGATAATCAAAATCACCTCTCTTCATCTCCTTGTCCTCTTAAACTTTAGGCAGATGTTTCCTATTGTGATGGTCAACTGTGCAGGCCAAAATCTTGTTCACATTCAGATGCTCAAATAATTCCACAGATGTGAACTTATTATCCATTAGCACCACATAGCTACTTCGTTTCAGAGTTCGGGTGCCTGTCCACAACTCTTCCCCCGCCAATCCAAATCCGTTTTCAGAATTAAGTGTCCTGTGATTTGCCTTGATACATTTCAATATAACCACTCATATCGGCTAGACACCATTAGTAAAATCAAAATAAAGATTTAAAGAAACATTCATATCGCAATACTAAAAATGAAGATACTAATGAATGTGCAAAAAAAATTAATTTCTGTTGCAGGAGTAAATTGTTCTAATCTCTAAATTTCGCCCGTCACCCCATCGTTATGCCCGGTCAAACTTAGGTTGTTAAGCTTACACTTGAGCACTGACGGTACTTTCTGGTACCAACATATTTGCTGGATAAGTACAATGCGGATTATACTTGCAGTCGTGCAATAACTATACCGAATCATCGTATCTCCACTACAAAAACGAACAAAAATCAATTGGACTATTAAGGCACAACAAAACCAACTAAATTTTAAAAGATAGAGCACCCACTCACAGTTCTCTGAAACCAATTTCAGACCACGCTCGACATAAACCGCACACGTTAACTCCACACAGTGAAGAGCAAAGTATCAGAGTTCTGACTCTTATCTACTTGTTGACAGAAGACTATAGTACATATCCTCGTGAGTAACAGTAGGAATAACGCTTGTATTTAATCAATATTACGATTTAAACAAAGTAGTACTTATAAGTACCGCCTGGACACAAGGCTTTAAAGCTTTCTCCCCTCAATAACCCCTTGACTTGCAGCGACTCCGCTTCACAAAATTTTGCCTAACCGTAACTTGTTCATCGAGCATAATCACATCATTCCAAGAGACTTCGTCGGATGCACACTTTGTTAACAGCACTCTTCGACTGCAATATCCTTTTCCTCAGGCAGTTTTACTACTGATATCATGTCCATGCGCTCCATCATATTATGATGGGACATTATTTTGTCTTTAAAAGGGATTCTGCTTAGTGTAACCTAAATCGTCTAATACTTCTACGCTACGGTTGAGTTTTATCGACTCCCGTCTGAACTAATGTGTTTTCGTTTGTGAAACACCGTCTTCAATCAATCTCGTTACTGACTCTCCTTCTGATGCTATCTGATTGGTTCTGTATACAAACTGTGCGGCATGTTTTCCTGGTCTCTACGTCACGAAGGCGATTTCCAAGTGATTTCAGGACTATCCATAATGCATCCCTAGTCCATGGTAAGCCATCTCTTTTAACTCAATAGTTCACCTCGGATAACTTTGTGCACAAACAAGACAAGTAACCTGATATCTTCAGGGAGCATCACACTTACTCATGGATTGTCGGGATTTGGTGCATCCGCCGTATATCTTGGATTGCGTCACGCCATCTCAATTGTGGCTTCGGTCGAAATGTGCCTCTGCCAACAATGGCACCCTGTTAAAATTTGAGCTGGGGTGGAACTCGAAGGCTAGTGGTTCATCACTGGCACCTTGATCACTGTGCCACTAAGCTCCGTGAGCAACGTTTGGCACAGCGGTAAGGAATCCAAAGCTGGGTTGGATTGTGACACGCGTTCTCTAGTTAGACCTCGGTTCATTTTGAAGGAGAAGAAGAGGAGCAACACCGAACCACCTCCATTTCGGTTACGGTCCTTGTGATCGTAATGACCGAGATTGGAATAGAGATTGCGAATCACACTCCAACCACACAGCGGGTACACCAAATGCCACTTGGAATCCCTTACCGCTGTGCGAAGCGTTGCTCACGGATCTTCGAGCCATAGTGCTCAAGGCGTCAACCTTTGAACACAAGGCATGGGAGTCCACCTCAGCTCAGGCTATCTCCATCTGATGAGCCTAAAGAAGGACGAAACCGGTTATGGGGTGCCAGGGTTGGAAGGAGCAACACCGAACCACCTCCAATTCGGTTGCGGTCCTTGTAATAACTGAGGTCCACTTCAAAGTGAACCGATCTCTGAGTAGAGATTGCATGTCGAAATCCAAACACACGGTGGGTACTAAAAACTCAACTTAAAATTCTTTACCGCTGTGCCAAGCGTTGCTCACGGATCTCAGTAGCATACCAGGTTCTGTGTTCCACCCCAGGTCAGGCTACCTCCCCCTTATGAGTCCAAACCACTACGAAACCGCGGTCATAGTTTGACAGTGTTGTCATGAGCAGCACCGAAATATTTCCATTTCGTCTACGGTCCTTGTGATAGGAATGACCAAGGTCTAAATGGAGATTGCCTGTCGTATTCCAACCCCACGGCGGATACTCCAAATCCAACTTCCAGCCTCTACCACTTATATCACTGGGACTTTATGCGAAGTGGAGAGTTAAAGTGTTGCAAGGATGGGAGAGTTCAACACCAAAGCTCTCGCTCATCGACCACCTCCATTCAAGCATCCCGCAAACCAGTTAGGTGTAGATTCGCCAAACCTAATTTGCGTTTGGTTGTAGTCGCTTGTGGGTGTACTGCCGCACACAATGTGTAGAACTATTCTGCTGATGGTTTGCTTTATCGACGCCAAGCAATCTTTGTTAGGGTTCGCAGTTATGCTCACCTACAGGATCTTCCTCCACCGTGGCGCAGTCGCATAAGCTGCTGACTGGCAGTTCAAGTCGCTGGTGGTCATAGGTTCGAATCCTGATGGATCCGTTGGATGCGCACTACTGACGATGCCCACCTGGCTGAAACTGTAGCGTAGTGCTTTTCTGGGCATGTGGACGACTATCTGATTTGGAAGCTGGCTGCGAAGAACCTCAGTTAATAGTCTGCTGATGGTTTGCTTTATCGATGCTAAGCAATCTTTGTTAGGGTTCGCAGTTACGCTCACCAGCGGGAACTTCCTCCAATTGCATTGTGGTTCGGACGATTGAGTCATGACTTCATCCGGGTGGGTTGGTGAGGTTTTCCACGCATGGCTTCGCTTGACTCATTGTCTTTGCGGTTGAACTATTGAGCCGAGTAGCGGAGGCGGATATCTTCTGACATATTCCACACTGTTAATGCCCTTCCAACGGTGGCTGCATTCCACCTTTCGAAAGTACGCCCAACGAACATACACACGGGGATCTTCCCGAGTTACTGTGTTCGAGTTACCATATGTCTACTGTTCAGACGAGTCGTTAACCTTAACATACAAAGTAGCGCCTGAATGCGACACACTATTTTACTAGCGGCAGCTCAGAGACCGTCAACTAAAGCTTTTATTACCAGCTGTCGTATTTCACTTCAGTAACTAGTGCTAAGGATCTTTGACCCTTTTTGCTCGTCTGTCATAGGCTCAACACGGTGTTGGGGGATCTTCCTGGGTCGTCACATCGAAGTTGGCCATCAGTTTCCCTATGGATGTGCCATTTACAGCTGCGATGGGTGTGTTAGGAAGGAATACACGAGTCGAACAAGCCAGGACCCCATCGCCTCGGCCGGCTATCCAAACTCATCCGCCCTGATTGGGGCGAACAGAGAGCCAACCAGGAGAAGCGGCCAATGAACGCTAGGTTGAAGTTCCTTTATTGGCTGTAAGTTAACCTTGCCAGAGCTTTCCGTCAGCTCTCAAAAGGTAGCCCCTTTTGATTTGATGTCGTCCAAGTAAGCTGCGACTCCTGATAACCCAGGTAACATCGTATCCATAATTTGTTGGAAAATCGCGGGAGCTGATTTGACGGCAAACGGTTGAACGGGTAAAGACCTCGGGGCGTATTGATTGCCAGCAACTCCTTTGAAACATCGTCGACTTCAATATGAAGATGAGCATCTGATAAATCTAGCTCTGCAAAGTAAGCGCCACCACTGAGCTTAGCAAATAAATCTTCTGGGACTGGCAAAGGATACTGGTGCATTTTCAAAGCAGCATTCAATCCCGTAGAGTAGTCAGCACAGCTACGAACGGTTCTCTTGGTCTTCTTGACGACAACAATAGGTGCTGCCCACGCTGAATAGTTCACAGGTTTGATGACGCCTGCCCGCTCCAAACGATCAAGTTCCGCATCAACAATCGGCAACGCAGCGTACGGTACCGGTCTTTTGGATCGGAATACGGGTTTGGCACCGTCTTTGAGAGTAAGGCTTGCTTTGGTCTTTGTGCATCTTCCCAAGTCGTTGCAAAACACAGATGGGAATTTCCTTCGTAGCTGCTCGATCAGGTTGATGTTTGGTTCGTCACCTTCCGAAGAGGGCCTCGTATATCCGAGCCGGAGGGTACTGCAGACTTGACTCAGGGGGATGTTGAACAGGTGGAGCCTCTGGATCCAGTCGAGTCCAAGAAGATTCAAATGTGACAGGCCCGTAATGTACACGACACCGTTTGCCCGAGCAACGCCAAAAGCCATTTCACACTGCAGCTCACCAATGAGATTAAGTTGACCTCTTGAAGCGTTAAGTACAACATGTGTCGTTCGGCTGATTGATGGAGCACCAATATACTGCCAAGTTTTGCTGGAGATAATTGTGATGTCCGAGGCTGTATCTAGCTGAAGACGCACTTGTTGCCCGTTCAGGTGAACTCTGATGTACTTTCTGCGAGCCACATGTTCATCAGAGTAGGCCGCTTGAACCGTACTATAGTTGCTGAATCTTTTGGGAACAATTGAATGCGGTTGCATATGTCTTGCACGCTTGAACTGCGGTCTGCATCGGCAGGGCGTTTCCTTATGGCCCCGTTTATGACACTTGTGGCAAACGTGTTGCAGGAGTGGACACACTCGGACAAAATGCCACTCATCACATATCCAACAGGCAGTCGGCGGCTTGGTATTCTGTCTGGGCTTTTCATGGCCTGTTTCACTTGGAAGCGGTTTCTTTGAGGTTGTTTTTGGAGTTGATTGTTGTTTCTCCAGCATAAGCGTGTCATGCTTGAGGTTCAGCAATCGTTGGCATTCAGTGGTTATGGTCTGTAGAGTCGTTTGCTGGTCTTGTTCAAGTTTACTCAGCAGCCTGGTGCGAATCACTGCATCCCGTGGGGAATGTAGGCCACAGATAAAAATCAGGCATTTGAATTGATCTGCCGTAATGGATTTGATGTCGAATTTTTCGCACTCGCGATTGAAGATGCCAGCGTAAGTAACGTAGTCATCAGCGTCCACCTTGGTGATCTTCAGGCATTGATATCGCGTGTTGAAGATGGATGACTGCTCTCCAAATATTTGGCCCAAGCATTTGGCAGTCTCCTCAAAAGTGCAGTCTCGAGCGTTCTTAGGCAAAACAAAGTTGACATACGTGGAGTGCTCTGCTGTTCCAAGTTTCCTTAACAGCTACCGGACTTTCCAATCGTCATCATGGTCTCCAAGTTCAACGCGGAACACATCTTCATAACGCTTGAACCAAGATTCAAGGTGAGGCCAGCATCAGGGTCGTACGAAAATTCGGTAATGCTGTTAGTGATGGCGTCTACCGATGCGGACGGCTTGACTTGCATGGGTGATACGAATTTGGGTCGCAGCTTCGGCCGCTGTGCTGCTAGGTTTCGGGGCGAATTTTGTGCTTGCAGTGTTGGGGCATGTTGGGGAGTCTTCGCTTCACCGGCGTCGGCCAGGATGTCCAGGGGTAACTGCGTTGCTGGTACTTGTTGTTGCACTTGTTCCCCAGTCCGTGTCTCTAGCAGCTGATTGGCATGTCTTACCCAAACTGCCGTCCCAACCTAGATACCGTAGATCACGTTACCACGTTTGTATAGCACATGGCCCATAGCCCATTTAGGTTAGTGAATGCGATAGTCTTTTGCCATAACTTGTTGACCAACATTAGACCTTCGCTTCCGAGCACCGTGTCGGATGTTGAGTTGTCGCTCCATCTGATAGTTGCGGGACAGCAACTGATCCTTACTGGGCCTGAGGGCATCATGCGGCACACGGATTTTCTTTTGAAACAAAGTTTCAGCCGGAGATAGGGCGTTCGGTGTCTGCGGATTCGGAGTTCTGCGATACGCCAGTAGAAATCTGTCAGGGTGGTTGGTTGTTAATCGACTGATCTGATACCATTTTCCTCATTATGTGCTCCGGCATTGCCTCAACCTCCGAGTATTCCTTGTTTCCGACATGCATGTCTCGTTTCATCCCTCTGCTCTTTGTGTTCATTCGCTCAACCCAGTGTGCTTACTGCCGTGTTCCCTTGTCTCGTACCCATTTCTCCTGCGACAACTGCATGAATTCCTTCATTCTGCTCCCTCTCATCCCCCCACCCCATTCGCTGCAGTTGTCTGGCTCTCACCATCATCCTTTCATTCGTCTGGGTAATCATTTTGCGTTGCTGTGCAACCGTCATGGTCTGGGTTGGACTGGCTCTGTTCTTTGTCCTCTTCACCGCGTGTAAGTCCCTTGCTGCATACTTTCGTTCGTCGCTATTTTTGGTGTACGTGTTGAACTCACTGGTTCGCCATATTCGTGGGCTCCGTCCATGCAATGCATGTTTCACTAACACATCCCACTCCATAAGTGAGAATCAAGGCCATAAACGATTTCAGTTCGGTTCACTCTCGTCAGACCCAGACGTTTGCATCGCACGGATGGTATGTGAATACGTCATAGCGGGTTGGGATTGACTTCTAAGCTATTTGAACGTTTAAGGCAGAACTGTATGTTAACTGGGAAGGTTGGTCCAGATTTATCTTGACTATTTGGTCCCGTTAGGTTGTCTGTCCTACGCGGTCACTCCTTGAACCCGGACAAACCGCCGTCCGATCGGATTAGGGCGGAAATCCGGCTATCACGCAGAGTCATCGACCGTTGGAACGTGCTTCGGGAAAGTGTTATCAGGGAATCTACGCTTAATGGGTTTGAGCGGCAACTTGACGCTCTTGGGTGGCAACATGAAACCTTTCCATTTTCCTGAGTAACTCGCATCTTCGTACTTCGATTTTCTTTTCTCTACTTTTCTTCATGCATTGGTGTTATTTTCTTATTTAAGTGCACTTCCTTATTCTGTACCTTCGACTTCTCTTCGAATCATTTGCTTACTTCACATGGCTGCCACAGCACGGATTGCTAGGGCAGGAAACATGGGCATTAACTGGTTGGCCAGGGTGCGATACGGGCGTTCCGTTTTAGATCCATCGATAACTGTCCACTTCATCAATTCGTGGCTCAACGATCCACTCAAGATGGAACACTTACTGGATTCTCCTATCGTTCCAGTCCCATCTGAACTGAACTGAACTGAGTGAAGTAGATAGCTAGGAAATAACCATATAACTAAGCGATAGAGTCTGTTGGCCACGGTAGTGATGGAATCTGCCGTAGGCATCGTTTTGGTATATAACTTCCATCTTCAGATGTTTTATGTAGATGACGGCAATACATAAGGGTTTCTCGCGGAATTCATGTGAGAAGCGTTCAGGTAGTGAGTAGAAAACTTTCAAGTCATTCCCGGAATCTGTATGGCCACAGGGAAAGAGATGCGCGCTTATAAAACCATGCCGGGATGATTTTAGAAAGGTTTCAAAACATCCGGTTGGTATAGTTTGTGGGCAACGTTCCGCTTTTGACACAAGAGCTTCGTCAGGCCGAGTGAACTAGTCGGGAATGGGTATAGCACTTATAGCGAACTGGGATGAGAATCACGACGAATGGGATGTAGGCAGAAGATCAATCGCGTTACAGGTCAATTCATCGCTCCAAATAGTGCATGGAACGATCATAAGTGGTCCGCGTTACAAGCTCACACACGTAAGCCTTGTTAACGATGGGTGCGGAGATGATGTGGTGTTCATTCTCCGCCCTGGATCCGTCCGCCGGTACTCCTCAGGCTGATCGGGTTAAGACTGCTCGCCACACGCTCGAACTCTCTACGCCGACTGGTTCACTTGGCCTGACGAAGCTTTTGTGTCAAAAGCGAAACGTTGCCCACTAATTATATCAGACATTTGTGAAATCATATCTCGTCCGGTTCCAAGCATTTTTCTATGTTCGTTTCACGTTGGGATGTAGCTTCGCAAATCTGAAATATGCACCACCCGGTGTGACTCCGTGGCGCAATGGTAGCGCGTCTGACTCCAGATCAGAAGGTTGCGTGTTCGAGTCACGTCGGGGTCATGTCGTTTTCCTGTCCGTCGCAGGTTCTAGCCTCGCAGTTTCATCAGCCAAGTGTGACCGGTGCTTGATGCCAGGCTCCGGTCTACTGATGAAGACAACGAGGAAACGAATGGCAGTCTCTACGACCTTCAGATCACAGCGTGAGTTCTCTGCGATTCCTCACGAAAGGTGTGGGTTGCAGTGCCTGTCTGGCCCTTGTCTACTCACGCCCATCAGCACAGTGCCTCAGTCAGATCGACGTTCTGAGCTCTTCCGTAGTGCGACGGCTGGACGTTCGTGCCACGTAGTAAGAGGCTGATGCAACGGAAGCAGCTAAGGAAGCACGGGAGAGAGTGCCGGATAGGAATATGTAAGTAACAGGAAGCAAAACCGATCGGCCTCTTACCTGTTCACGTGTTACTGCGACGCCAGCGGACCGGCTACAATGGCACAAGGTGACCGAAGAAGCTGAGCTGGCTTCGTTGCTATGGAGCAGGAATAAAATAGACCAAATACCTTGGTATACACCATCACTGATGGAGGAATACCAGTCCATTTAGGTGATCATCCACCTGTACCCTTTAGTTCCGTGCAATGAGGAAGTCACTGATCTGCTTGTGCAGTGACCCACCAACAACGCATACCCACAGCTTGGTGATACAAAAGTCGCCCTTCATGAAGCTGTACTATGCGATAATCATGAAGGTTTTCGACTCCAGCAACTGCAGTAGACCTTTTTTCACCATCTTCTGGAGTACTTTGGCTGAAAACCGATGTCAGACTAATCGGACGATAATTGTCCACCTTGATTGGGTCACCGCCCTTCGGAATTGGCTTCACTATCGAGCATTCCCATTCGCTCGGCAATCCACCTTCGGGCTGTGTTGTTTAACAGATCAGCCATGGGGGGCGAGATGATGGCCGACAGTGACTTGAGAATCAGTAGGTGGAACCCGTCTGGACCGCCAGGTTTCCTGCTGTTATGACTGGCAAATAGATGGTGCACATCTTCTCCATCACAATCCAGCCTCCCGACTTCTGTAGGGGCTGCACACGTGGATCCTGGTCTGGACACATTCCCACAAATAAGGAAGCGTAGTAGGTCACCAACGCGGACGCGCGTTCAGCGCTAGAACTCAGAGTATGTCCCTCAGTACCCTCTAACTCGTGTATCACAGCTATGGGTTACATGCTAGTGGGACATCAACAAGTAAGATGTTGTGCCGATCGCAATTGAGGAGTTTCTGTATCAGTAACTGAATTTTTGCATGGGCTACTTCGAATCCAGTTGCAGTTACTAATGAGTAGGAGGATTTTAAATGAAATTTTCTGTTTCATCCTAGCAACACATGCCGGATAGTCTAAGCACCATCCCGAGAAAACGCCAGCCGATCGTTTCGCCCCTTTGGGGCTTGGTAGTGGTGCCCATTTCTTCAATCCCCTTCAGGAAACCTACCTAATGACCGCTGGCAGCTTGCGCCATCTAGCCAACAAATTCTTGAAATTTCCAACCACTGCCTGAAGCATCAGTTGCTAAACCTACTAATCATGAGTTTTGGCCTGGCCGCCTCCACCTGATAAGTCCATGCAGACAAAAATGGCTACGGATTATAGCATTTAGAGCAATCAACACCAATACCGTCCACCTCGGATACGGTCTCACTAGATTTGATGGCCGAAGTGTGCTTCAATGTTGATCGCCGCCTTAGTTAAGATAGAACTGCTCGATCCAATTACATTGCCAGCCGGGTGGAAACGTTGTTGGTTGTTTTGAGTGCTGCTCACAGCCAATATCGCCTTTCACAGCGGTTTTCTTCTCAATGTCGCATATTCACATTGTGATAACCGATTTGGATCTCGAGCTCGAGACGTGTAAAGATTCCTGCCGCTAGACGCCACACCACCGATACCTATGGACAGTTTTTGTGGACCAATTTATTGTTTTATTTGTTCAAGTTCACACGTTATGTGCATAAAGGGATTGGGACATGCAACCTCAATCTGCGTCTCGGTTTGCCTCGGTAGATGAAGAACCCCTACTAGTTTGCCTACTGAGACTATGTCTCCTGGAGACCTATCGCGTCCCTAGTTAGGCTTCTCAAATCGAGATGGCCCAACTTAAACTTAAACTCACAACGTGTGGTTACCTTCGAACTATCAGTGTGCAGCCTAAAATCCTACTATTCCACTTGTAGCTAACTGTGACACGGTGGGTTTGGGTTTTTTCCCTTAATTCTATAGTCCCATGTACAAACGGACTGCACTCATGTTTGGTCCCGTTCATCTTCTCTGTTATCCTTTGTTTAGGGACCGAGTTGCTACTGCGTTATCCAATACAATGTAGCAAGCTTAGTGATCTCTGGCCAATGCCCAGGTTTCACATCCATTAGCAACGCTGCGTCCGTCTTTTGGATGACTTGTCACATTTACCTCAGTGGATTGTTTTCTAATCTCTAACTCCTCGTGTTTAATTCCTCCTCCCCACCGATCTTGCTCTCGTATTCACCCTCTGTTCCAGCCACTGGTTTTTGTTACTACCGATGGCATCGTCTGCGGACCGCAGCGGAGGAAATACCGTACGAACTCACGATCGATTTTTCCATCTACTTTCGGTCGGCCTCTTTGTGGCTTGCTCTCGGTACGTCATACGAGAACGCTGCTCTTCACACCTACTGGGCTCCATTGTTCTCTTCTCATTGGTTGTTGTTGTTGTTGTTATTCTTGGTGTTTTCCGCTGTGCAACCTGCCATTCGCTTCGTCACTTTTGTCCTCCACTTCTGTACCCCTACGCCCCCCCCCATCATTCAGGTATTATCCTGTCTGTCATGCTCGTTGTCCTTCTACTGGTGATCATATGTCTTCAAAGTAGGATCCGGATAGCCATTGCCATGATTGATCAAACGAGCAAGTACGTTTCTCTGTGGGATCCGCTCCTATTTGGTTGCTGTCTCAATGGCTGCAGCACACCTTGTGCTTTTTCAATTTATTTCCCGTTTCAGCGATTCATCATCATGCTAACTACAACACATTTATATAGCCAAGGGCGGATCAAGGAATCGAAGAACAGCCATGCTACAATTACCTTAGGGGCCTGATCTGTACACGTGGAGACCGCATATTTGACAGCTGATCACCGTAGTTCCAAAGCTCAAGACGCTTTTGCCAATCTCCGCCTTCCCCCCACGACGTTGGCGCGACATTACTTTGGCCTTGAAGGGCAGAGTTTACAATGCAGCCGTCCGTTCAACCCTCCTGTATGGTTGTAAAACCTGGCCCATCAAACTGACAGACCTAAAGGGGCTAATTACGTTCGATCACCAGGGCCTTCATCTTAGCTCATGTCTGGTGAAAGTACCGTGTGCGCAATAAGAGTGTTAGGCGTCGTGTATTTGATGCAAGAAGAGCTAGTGAACCGTTCAGCATCATTGCATCACACACCAGTATTCGAATGGCCGGACCACGTGTTGCGCATACCAGCACATCGGCTCCCGCGATGTACGTTGTGTGCTCACCCGGGGTCTGGATGGAAGATGAGGAGGGGAGGCCAAGTGATGGCTTGCTCAAGAGGAATGAAGACCTTCACTTCTAATTAGATGTCATTTGGTGTCTGCCGACTGACAGCCTGGGGTTTAAAAGACGATAAACACGTTGGGTTGGGCGCACTAGTTGACATGGCAAGGAGCCGACTTCATTGGCGTTTGTGTTGTGAGTCTCTCTGTGTCTCCCCATCCCTCTTCTCTTCCCCCCTCGACCACCATTTCTGCATTGAATCATGATGTGTTAGTAAGCATTGTTTTACCCGTTTTTTCTTCTATAATGTTTAGGGACTCACTTTTTCAGGTATCCTATCTGTTTGTATTGCGGCGCAGAAGTTGGAGTGTTTTTCACCATTGGCTAATGTGCAATGAGGGTGTTGAAGGCCGATGAGTGTATTCATTTTGAGTGAAGACGTCCACACGTTGCTAGTACACACACGGTTAGCCACCACGCGATAATAAAATGTATTCCCCTATTCAGCTGTCTTGAGGCTTTAAAACTGTCTCGCGCCTTATTTCGATGCTAACTCGGCCTAATACACATCTTATGCCAGAGGTATGCACACTTTTTGCAAAGAGGTCCACATTGTGTGAGGTAGAGATAAGTCGGGCGATATTTAGTCTAATATTAAGATAATAACGAAAATTACACGTGTACGAAAAAAGTCCAGGCCTAAATTTATTATTTCATGATGAAGCAGTGGGCCGGACTTTGGACATCTTTGTCTTCGGTGGTGAGCTCTGGTGCTGGTTGCGAGCCTTGCCCTGTAATCTCTCGTTTCTTAGTATCGAATGGGCGCCAGCCTAGTAAGTGGGAAAGCCTATTGCCACTTCATTTCTATTTGCGTGACTTTTCTACGTGCCACTCTTTCATCTGTGTATATCTCCACTTACTTACACATTTCTGCTGCGCCAGGGCACTAATCCACATGACGTCGGTGTTTTTCTGGCCTCTTCTGCCTCTCACACTGGAATTGCTCGTGATCGCCCAAGTGGTCTTTGTCGCCATGTCCCTTCGCTCCATTTCTGACCCCATCGGCACAATGGATTCAAATTCCACCACTATGCTCTCCACCTCATCCGAGGATAAAGCTCGACGGGATTTGAGAAACATCTTCCAACTGATTCCATGCAATCCCACAGTAAGTATCGTTAATGTGAGGTGTGAAGCTACATGAGTTTATGTGTGGGATCGTAAGCAGGTCATAACTGACTAATTCCGCATATTACTAGTCGAACCTAAGTTTAATTGGCCTGGAATTGACCATCTCTCCTTGTTCTGCGATTCCCTACTCAAGACATATGAGGCATTTTCTCATCTGCTTTCGTACACACTCTTGTGACTCAGCTCGCTTCAAAAACATTCGAGTAAATTTTATCTAACTTTTATGTACTCCTTTCCTTGACATGATCATTCGGCTATCTGCGTTCAACAACCCATCAGGCATCTAAGTCGCATCTTCATCTCTCAGATCGAGCTTCCGGATGGTGTCGTTCACCTGCATTTTCCGCTCTGCTTTGCTTCATTCTTAGATCTCACCTTTATGACTACTTTGCAGAAGTCCGCCTCTAATTTTCTCTGACGTATACCAAGCAGACTATACTCTTTGTCATCTTAGTTCCTCCGTAATGCAACCAATTTAGCTTGAAACACTTTCAGCAGATACACGTACACGGCTCTTCGAGTAACCATTCCTCATAAACCATCAGTTTGTCAGATGCCTCGCATCGTACTCCATATGCGTGCATTCTGCATGAAGATGATGATAACGTTCCTGGGTGCGAACATGTTTGCCTGCCTCGTAACACGCGGACTAGTTGGACACTGGACGTCCGTCTAGTCCCGTACTGATTCCCCAGCTCATCAACGACGCTGCAAAGCTGAGGGCACGCATGTGATCCACACAATTCCTCCAGCGTGGGGGTTTGGGGACTAAAAGAGTTGCTGTCTCTGTCAAATTGCGGACACTATGGGACAATACGCGACTGGATTGACATCTTCAGGCTACCTTCGGGCTATACCGGCCCCTGCCCGAATGGACATGGTATCATCTGCCTTACAATCTGAAGGTCGCGGGTTCGTGCCTATCTACGGGGCCGGGTGATCCTTAGCCCACCCGCGAGTGGTGGAGGTTGCGTGGCAGCGAAGCGTCGGTGCGGCGTACTACTGATGTCCATTTTGCCATCCGTCTGTGCTCCAAAATCATGGGGGCTCGCGAGTAAATCCGGGCATACAAACCTTGCCGGAACCACCGTTTCGCATGTATATCTTCACGATACGGTTTGTACATTCCATATCCTACTGGCCGATGGTGATTTACTATTCTACTCGCGCGTTTGGTTTGCAACCATAAGGTCACCGGTTCGAATCCGCGTAGGGGTGGGCGTCCTCGCGGTATACTCAACCCACGTGCGACTGGTGGCGGTCGCGCAGCAGCGAAGCGCCGTTACGGCGTACAGCTGATACATTGTTATTATTGTTATTATTATTATTATTATTCTACTCGTGTGCATGCTGTTGGATGCATTTTGAATGCAATACAGATGAACTTGGTTGTTTTTTGTTTTGTCGGCCTGGGTCGTTATTCAAATCTCGGGTACCGTTCCGCATTGTGGCTTTTAGTGTCTTATTTTGCATCACAACACCCAACAGTCAACAATAACTTTTTTACTCCTTTCTTGATGACATATTGCGTCTATACCCCCCCCCCACACACACACACTATTGTTGACTACCCAGCTCAGACTCTAGTAACGGTGGGTATATCCGCGTCCCGCATGCTACTGAGCTGGTGACCTGAGACGTTACGCGGCCGGATATGCATTCAGCAAAATTGTTGCCGATCTACTCCTTCATTGAATCCTATTTTACTAGCTGCATGTTTGTTGTTATCGTCGCAAGATCCTGTTCATCCCTGTTATCTCCATGTATACCTCACTGACCGAAGCTGGGAGACCTTCCGAGACGAATTCCGTCGTCCATTCTAGTCATCATTATCAACAGTAGTAGTACATCAGCCGTTTGAGCTGATACTTCACTGCCGCAACGTAGAATAGAGGGAGAGAGAGGGAACATTGCTTAAAACCTAAGTGCCGTAAGCAAACATTCGAGGCCGACACGCCTACACCTTGACAACAGAATACCATCACAAACAGCTGTATATTGTGCAATGATAAGGCGGCATCAGCGAGACAGCTCTCTTGCGGCTTTCTCTGCCCCTTGGTACCTTAACACCAAATACTTCATAGTGGCAATCCAACTAGGAAACGACAGCAAAAGTATTCTTGATACCGACCGTCTCGAGCCAAACACTAGAGGGGTCACGTGGACTCTAACCTGTAAGGTGAGACGGTCCAATGGCGCCCCAGTGCCTTACTCAGTGACATCACTTCCCTATGCCAATTTAACATGTGCCCACTTCGAGTCTAGCGCCACCTTACATTTGGCAACTAAAACAGCTGATCTTGTTCCCTGTCCATGTGACCAGAAGCGCCAATCACAGCCACGTTGCTAGGATCACTAGTGTCAAAGCGACCACGTATCGGCGTCGGAACATCGCTAAGCGTGGGCCGCTACTCATCGTATTGGCAATGGCGATCTCACTTCGCGCCTTTCACTCTCAACAGACTTTCTAACCGTGCTCGGTGCACACAGGTGCCAATTCGATTTACCTTCTCTTGGTGTGAATCCCTTGATTTTTCAGCTGAAGCACTTTTTGGTTACTCTTGCAACAAGCTACCATTTGACCTCATTTTCGTCCATTTATATATCATGAAATGTGTCCCGAAAATGAGACCTATGACCTTTACGAGCACTCGTATATTTTTATCCCCTGTACATATGATGATGCCGACCACATATCGATACTATCACGTCGCTGTGACACTGTTGTATCTGAATCACTAAACGTGTTTTCTTGCGTTCCGTGTTCTCCCAACTTTGGCCATCTCCAATAGGAACAGTAAGGAGGCGATTGTGCATCCCATACGCCACCTCCGTTACTTTCGGGCGGGGTGATGCCAAACGTCACTGTAAAACCAAATGAGCTTATACTGCCTTTGTGTCGGCCTCTGTGAGTTATTCCATCATGAAAGTGGCCACGACTCGGTGATACTGTTCAATGCATGTGTGGCACGCTCTTCCCCAGCTTCTACTTTACTCAGTGACTTGTGTACGCAATGTTATGCCCAGAGTCAGTGATCCAATCAATGCGCACCCAACCTCACGATGAGTCATGACTACAAGCTCTGATTTGCTGCTTTTTCAGATGTACTCACCTATGATTGAACTGTTCCTTGACAGGGATGAGTTGGCCTCAATTCAGCTACCATTCCTTATGCTTCTTAGTCTGAAGTGCCACTCATTGGTTGTCGCTGTGGAGTCGTACTGTGTCTGTTCTCTCTCGCGGTGGTTTGCTATTTTACGAGTTGGGATTGCTTTAGTCACTGTCCGCGATGTCATGAAGTGGCAGGCATCCTATCATTGGTGGTTTGCTACCCCCCAGTTTGTTGTCATTAGACGCAAACGTTGTCCAAACATCTCTAAAAATTCTCCCCAATGGGTGGCCTACCTAATGATGGAATCATGCCGGATGTTCGCTGCTGACCGGGACTTGGTGGGTTTTCACCTCGCAAGCGTTCTCTCTATAAAAGCCACATAGGTCCGTTTAACAACACTGCAACCTGGCGGATGTGACTCACCACTAAATAAAGTCACTGTTCCTTTGCTTCACATCGCTGGAGCATTGTAATCCTTCAGCTTGACACTGAATTACTGGGTTTTGGGCCCCTGTTTGGCAGCCAGCCATACCAAAGGCGTATGAACCGAACAATCGGTCACCGGCTCCCAATGGGCGCGATTCCCTGAATTCGCCCCGCTGCCTTATGGGTCAGGTCCCTATGACCAAAGGCTCCGAGTGGGGCCGCCTAAGTGAACAGCAATCTGGATTTCGTCCGGGTCGCGGTTGTGTCGATCTCATCTTTACGATCCTCCAGATACTTGGACATCACCATACGTTCAGTCAACCAACTATAGTCCTATTCTTGGACATTCCAGCCGCCTTTAACTCTGTTGACAGAGTGGCTCTTTGGGACTGCTTACTGAAGTGGGGAGTATCTGAGAAGTACATCAGCATTGTGTCATTTGCCATCATAATTCATGCCGCATGCGAGCATACGGAGACATTTCGCCCCCTTTCAGTATCACTAGCGGTGTTAGACAGTGTTGCTCAGCCTCTCCATTCTTGTTCAGCTTCGCTATGGACAAGATCCTGGATACTGCCCTGGCTAACTCTGAGTCCTGCAGTATTAAACTGCTCCCTTCGTGAATTAGAGTATGCCGATGACATCGCTGTGATTTGTGAGTCCTTCCAAGCCGCCCCGCGTGTGCTGCTCATACTGGAGATGTCCGTCTGCCAATTTTTGTCGAGCTTTACCCCTTCCAAATGCAAGGTCCTATTACATGACTGACTAAGCGCATTCCTTCTTTCACCCTTTCAGTAAATCGTCGACAAATTCATTTATCTTTGGTGTTGTCTTAGTATCGGCGGTTTGACAGATGTGATCTCCCTGTCTGTCTCCAACGCTAGAGTCGCTTTCGCTAACCTTCATCACCTTTGGCTTGTCGTGACCACAGCTTCGCTCTCAAGGGGCGAGTCTATAATGCTACGGTACGAGCGATCCTGCTGTACCAACGTACACTCAAACTATGTCTTTTTAAGCTGGATAAATTTCATTCCACTTTATTTAGTTTGTTCGGCCTACCTGAATAATCTTCTATTAACTGGCCACGTTGCTTACGCTGACTGCGCTTATCTCCGGTAATTTTGTCGCGTTTGTAACATTTCCATCGCAATGCGGTTGGACCTTACCGTGATGCGATGGATTTTGTGCCTCAGCGATCCATTGAGCTATGCTGGGTGGTGCTTTTGCACCTTCAGAGTCACTCATACCAGATTGGTCAATGGTTAGAGGCCAGACAAACTCAGCCTCCTGGTCCTTCAGGTTGGGGTTGGAATGAGGGTGGCACCTTATTCCTTAAAACGGACTCCTTGTAGCCCAACGCCCAACCCGCTGCCTTGCGGTCAGGTTTTTGAACTAAACACTTTGGTTGAGAACCCTAATCGTTCTCCTGTCTAGGCCT